ACAGTCTTGAACTATAATTGGTTTGTCTGTTTCTCCTTTAGTTCTGTCTATATTTACTTCATCTGGTTGGGATCTTCCTAGGCACATGGACACTGAAGATTATTTTGCTGTTCTGATTGAGCTTTTGTCATAACCAAATAGCTTACTTACCCACAGTAACACTGCCTTGCTGCTAGCTTAAGAGTTTGTGGCTCCATCTTTTTGATTCAGTGTCGTCACTGTGAACAGCCTGTGGCTGGGTCTTGCCTTTTGGTGCAGTCTGAGCTGGAGAAACATCTCAGCCTTTTAGCTAGTGTAGGTACCTCGATGTTGAGTGGGACTGCTAGCGCTGGAGTTTAAATCCCTCAGCTCGGCTGGTTTTCGTTTATCCTGTCCATTCTTTGTTCCCCTGACCCTTTCTTGCCTCCTTTTTTAGGGAGAATAATTTAGTATTTCTTAGTATTCTTTTCAAAAATACTTTCATGCCTCTTTATGTTTTAGTTTAAACTCTAGAAATTAGAATATGTATCTTTAATTTACTTAGTCGATCTTCTAAGCATGTGCCACGGCAGCGTAAGGACCTTAAGACCGTGTTCATGCTGTGGTTGACCTGCCTTTGTGTTCTTGTTTTTATATGAATTTTACTTTACATTGTTTTTACTTTAGACAGTTTTTGCTTTTTCAGAGATTGAAAGATACACATAATTTTAAAAAAGTCTTCTTGCTGTTCCCTGGCACATTTACCCTCTCTGCTGTTCTTCATTTCTTCCTGGAGAAGGTTTTCTACTTGCAGTCATTTCCTTCCAGTTGAAAGAATTGCTTTCTGCCTGTTGAAATGCAAGTCTGCTGGAGACTCATTCCTTGGCTTTCAGCTATTTGAAAATGTATTCCTTCCCCTTAGACTTTCGAAGGCTGTTTTCACCAGATGAGGAACGTGAGGTCGGTCGTTTCCTGGCAGCACTCTTGGGGTACTGTCCCATGTTCCCAGCCCTCCTGGTTTCTGATGAGAACCAGCCCTCGTCCTGCTTCCCTGCCTGTCCTGTGTTTCCATCCGGCTGGGTTGAGTATTTTCCTCTTATCTTTTCAGCAGGTTGACCTTGGTACACTTATATGTGGTTTTCTTTGTTTCTGCTTGGAGTTCATTTGGATCTGCAAATTGATTTTATCCTTCAGTTTTGGAAAGTTGCACGGCCATGTCTTGTCAATATATTTTTGTTCTATTCTTTCCTCTGTTTCTGAAACTCCAGTTATATTTATACTCAGTTTGTGTTTGTCCCACAAACCTCAGATGATCTGTTATATTTTTTTGTTTTTCATTTTCTTTCCTTCTTTTTAAAAAAGTTTGGTTTCTGTTGACTTGTCTGGCCTCCAGTTCACAGGTTCTTTCCTTTAGTATGTTCGGCTTGCTGATTAGCCCATCAAAACAGTTGTTCCTCTCTAAGATACTTTCACGTCTAGAATTTTTATTTGCCTTTTAAAAAGTTTCTGTACCATTGAAATGCTCCACCCCATGCACGCTGCCTGCCGTCCCACTAAGCTCCTTGTGTGTGCTTGCATGGGGGTGTCTAACCCACTGAGCCACATCCCCAGCTCTATTATTTTTAAACATTTTTAATTTTGAGGCAGCATGTCACTAAGTTGCCCAGGCTAGCTTGAACTTGTGATCCTCCTGCCTCCGAGTACTGAGACTGTAGGGGTGTGCCCCCACACCTGGGGCCACCAGGTCGGTTAACATGTTTGTCACAGTCATTTGAAAGGTCCTGTCTGAGAATTCCCACATTCCGGCCGGCTCTGCATCTTGCTGTGTCAGACAGTTTTCTTGCCAAGGGCCATGTGTCTGGCCATGTCACATACCTGATGGTTTGTTAATGAAACACCAGACATTGTGTGGGGAAGAACCAAGGCCAAGGACAGCTGGCAGTGGGGCTGGGTTCTGAGTGTGGCCCCTAGCTAACTGGGCCTGGGCTTAGCTGTTTACCGCTACTTACACATTCCCTAAGGGTGCGATGAGCACCTTCCTTCCGGCAGGACTTGGATCTCAGGGTCTCACTTGGTTCTCGCTCTGCCCACAGGCTTCCGGTTGGCATCAGCGCAGGCCTCCCTCAGCGCGCCACTGCTCTGCTGCGCTCCTCTGTGTTGCTGGCCTTGGACTGGGCTCTTTAAGGAGCCCTTCCGAGACCACGTACTTTTCTTCTCTCCTAGCCACTGTAGCCTGCAGATCAAAGCGCTGGCCAAAATCCATGCCTTTGTTCAGGACATGTGAGTACTGCCCCGGTTCCGGAATTCGCCTGTTGCAAGGGAAGCTCCTGCTTGGTTCCCCACGCCACCCTTTGTTCCCTGGCATTTACAAGCGGTCTTGTCCTTCCTGCTGGGCTGTGGGCTCTGGAAGGTGCCAGAGCAGCTCAGGGTGGGGCCGCACTCCCAGACTTGGCAGTTGCTGAGAGTGACCCAGGGGACGGTCCCGGGAAGTTAGTCACAGCGGCTCAGGCCACGGAGTGACCCGGAGCGACCCGGAGCCCCACGGGTGCGGTGGCGTGGACAGCAGGGGCGGTAGGTGCGCGGGGTGCACTCCCTGAGAGGTTTTAACCCCAGACGGCTTTGTCTCGCCAGGACCCTGAGCGAGCCGCGGCAGGCGGAGATCCGGAAGGAGTGCCTTCGGCTCTGGGAGGTGAGCTCCCCGCCACCACAGCAGGGGGCCACAGGAAGGAGATGGGCATCTTAGGGTACCCCGTCCGACCCAAAGCTGGGTCAGAAAGGACAGGGGTGATGAGCGGTTTCATTCTGCTACTGCTGGCCCTGTGTGGCCGCACGGACCACAGAGCCTAGATGAAAAGGATGCGGCCTTCTGGGCGTCAGTGAAGTACCCTCCTCCAGCCCGCTCTGCGCGCCATCTCCTTCCCCGCCGAGCCTGTGTGTCCTCTGCCCCCACAGCCTCGGTCCACAGGGCCTGAAAGTCACAGCTCTTTGTTACCTCATTGCAGATTCCGGACCAGGCTCGAGTTGCTCCTTCTTCTTCAGACCCAAAGTCTAAGTTCTTCGAGCTGATCCAGGTAGATGTGGGAGCCCCGCTCTCGGTGCGGACAGTGTCACTGGGGCCCAGGTGCCTGCAGGGCACCACCACAGGCCGTGAGGGCTGGAGTGCGGCAGCCACAGGCAGAGCGTGGGGTGCCGGTGGGAAGTTCCGGGGCCAGCAGCTCACAGGGTTCTTTCCTGAGATGTGCGCGTCCCCGCACGCCTGCCCTCCACAGCCTGGGGCAGGAGTCTGTCCGGGACGGTCTTCAGTCCAGTATTCTTGCTGCCTCAACCCTGGCTTTTCTGGGGGCCTCATTCAAATCTGGCCTGGATCATGTGCAGGTTTTGTGGGGGTCAGGGACTGGAAAACAAGGTTCAGGATAGACCTAGAAAAGTGAGGTGTGTTTCTGGAGCGGGTTGGGAGGCTGGTTGCCTACTGTCCCCCCAGCTGCTGGCCTCCTTTCTTGCCATGCCGCGGCAGGGCAGCTCCACGTTCTGTGACATCTCCCCACAGCTCCTCCTTGGGGTGCCTGTGGGGGCTTCGCGCCCCCTTCCCCAGCCTCCCAGTAGTTCCTGAAGGAACCCGAGCAGCTGGGAACTGATCCCATTTGGTGCCCAGTGCGGTGGCGCAGGGCGCACGTGTCCAGGCGCGGGTGCTCCCCGTCCCTGGCCTCTCCTGTGTGCCGGCGCCTGCCCAGCCCAGCAGCGTGTCCTCTGCTCGTGGCTACAGGGCGCCGAGATCGACGTCTTCAGCTATAAGCCCACGCCGCTCACCGCCAAAACCCTGGAGAAGATCCGGCCCGTGTTGGACTACCGCTGCATGGTGTCCGGCAGCCAGCAGAAGTTCCTCCTCGGCATGGGGGTAGGTCCGGGAGCAGGTGTCTCTGGAAACGGTTTCCTTTATTCCTCGGAGTTCCTGAGTGTGATGTCATTCTTCCGTTTCTGCACTGCGGATGGACCGGGAGGCTTTTCTTGGGGGCGGGCTGGCAGCTTGTCTGCAGGCTCAGCGGGCCAGAGCCTGTCCCCCACCCCAGGCCACTTGTTGTCTTGCAAAGCCCCCTCCCCTGCCATTGCCTCCGCTCCCCCGGCCCTTGCAGGCTGCTGCTGCGGGAAAGCCTTGGCTTCCTTAATGTGTGGAGCCGCTGCTGTTTCTGCTAGCTCTTTCCACATAACTTGCTCTCTTGTTCCTAGTCACTTCTTTTGTGCCCCCTCACACCTTCTCCTGTACTTCCTCATCCTTCACCCCTCCCAACCAAGCTGGGGTTTTCTTGAGGACCCATCACAAGCTTGGGTCATTTGAGAGGCGCCCTGAGCCCATTTCCGAGCGTCAGGCCCAGACCCCCCCTGCCCACTCCCAGCCCATCAGCCTGGCGCTGCCAGCTGCAAGCCCTTTTGAGGACCAGTCCCTCTCCTCATCTGTAGAAGTCCCAGATCTACACGTGGGACGGCCGCCAGTCAGACCGCTGGGTCAAGCTGGACCTGAAGACAGAGCTGCCCCGCGACACGCTGCTGTCCGTGGAGATTGTGCACGAGCTGAAAGGGGAGGTCAGAGCAGCTCACTCCCAGGGCTGGAGGGCTGGTGCACACTCACCTGGCCCCTGGCTTGAATTCACTTCACTACCCTGTGTTGGGGGACAGAGCCCAGGCTGGGAAGGGGGGCCAACTACTGTCCTCAAGCAGTAGCCCTGAACCAGGGGATCCATGGGGGCTGGAGTGGTCCCTTGTGTCAGAGAGTAACCTGAAGGAAGAGGCTGTCAGAACACCACAGGGAGAGTAGGTGGAGGGTGGGCTCACCCTCAGGGGCCTGAGGACCTGGGGCTCCCACCAAGAGCCCGGCTGCATCCTGCTCTGCTCAGATGTCAGGACTGCTCTGGTGCGGGGAATTGCTGCAGGGAGGCAAGAGGACCGTGTGCTTAGCGCCCCCTTCCCCAGTAGAACTGAGGCCACGTGCCACTGTGGGCCGGGTCGTGGCATTCTTGTCCTTGCAGGGGAAGGCCCAGCGGAAGATCAGCGCCATCCACATCCTTGATGTCCTCGTGCTGAACGGCAGCGATGTCCGGGACCAGCATTTCAACCAGCGGTGAGGCCCCGGCCCGGGATAGGGAGGGTGCGGGTGGCTCAGGCCCTGTTCATCAGATACCAGCCCACTGGGTCCTGCCATAGCCAGCAGATGGCGGGCGCCCTGCTGGAAGAGGGAGGGTCCTGAGGAACATGTCCAGGGCTGGCCTGGTGCCAGTTGGGGTCCCCAGCCTGGTACACACGTGACACAGTTCTGCTTGATGTTTGGGTGGAAGTGATTGAGCACAGCTCACGGTGCCCTTCTGGAAAAGCAGCCGAGACCCTGTGAGCAGACAGAACCCAGGAGGGGATAGGGGCGCAGATGGCAGGGCGCTGTCTCACAGGCGCCTCCAGCCTCTGATGCACTGCTCGTGTCACAGGATTCAGCTTGCTGAGAAGTTTGTGAAAGCCGTTTCCAAGCCCAGCCGGCCCGACATGAATCCCATCAGGTGAGCGTCTGGCCTCCCACATCCGTGTCCCTGCGGGGGCTCCTTTCTGGGCACTGCCACCACCTCTGTGCAGGGAGGGCAGCTCGGTGCAGACTGCCCTGCTGAGTGGCTGGCTCGGGTGTGGGGGAGGTGGCTCTCGCCGGGGTGTTAGCCTCTGTTGCCTGGCCCGGTGGGCGAAGCTGGACTAGGCTGTTGCTTAGCCTTTTTTATATTGCGCAGGTGAGAAAAGGACACTGAGGGCTGGAGGAATCTGAGTATACAGCCAAGAAGGGTTGAGGGGATGGACCCCTCAGCTTGGGGATGGCAGGGTTTGGGGACCAGGCCCAAAATGGTTACAGAGGGCTCTGCTTTGCCCCATGGCGCTGGAGGTGACTGCTATTAGTTCAAATGAGATCCAGTACTCACAGCGCCCTTCGTGGATGTCACAGCAGGGTGTCCAACAGCAGCACGCCTGTGCTCTCAGGGTCCTACTGCCAGACCTCTAAGGCAGCTGCCTCCGCTGCTTCTGGGCTGCTGAGCACCTTACCCAGTCGCAGTTACGGAGGCCATTTGGCTCTAGAAGTGGAGGGCTGACCCCCAGAACGATCAGTAGCTGTTGCAGGGAGGCCTCCAGCCACGTAGACAGCCCCAGGCCATGGGCTGTGTGGGCTGAGGACAATGCAGGCGGCCTGGCCCTCCCTCTCCTATCTTCTAGGAGAGGCAGGAGAAGCAGTGCCACAGCCCGTGCCCACCTCCTTGGCGGGCTGCTTGTTGCGGGGAGGGCCGGAGGCAGAGGACACGGGTAGTTCCTGCCTGCCAGCTTCTTCCCGGCCAAACCCATCCCTTCGTCCCCGTCTGCAGGGTGAAGGAGGTGTACAGGCTGGAGGAGGTGGAGAAGATCTTTCTCAGGTGAGTGACACCGGTGTGGGGAGCGGGGCCTGGCACCACCTCAGCTGCACGCTCTGGGGGCAGCGGCTGGGAGCTGACTCAGCGCCCCATCATAGGCAAGTGGAGTGGCGTGCAGGCACAAGGGGCTCCATCATGTGTCAGGCAGAAATATGGCCTCTGTAGCAGTTACGATTGTCCCTGCGAGGGGTGGAGCAGAAAGCGGCTGGAAGTGCTGTAAATCCCAGCTCCCGGTATGGGGCTGAGCCCCGAGGGCCGGTGCGTGCGGGTGCCCAAGGCCGAGGCTGGGCGGGGCAGGGGCTTCCTGCCCACGTGTGCAGCTACTGTTGACTGCAGGCAGCCACAGGGATGCCACGGGTTGAGTGCAGACCCACTGACGCCCCCACTTTCGGCCTTCCTGCTGTCACCCCGGAGCCCCACCAAGTAGCCATAGCACAGCAGGGTCACCTGTCACTCCCCTCCGCGGTTGGGAGTTCAGAGCCTGCACTGTAAACCCAGCGTGGTCCCCAACCTGGGCGAGGGGCTTAAGGCACCTCGCGCAGTCTGTGCCTCCATTTCTTGCATCGAAGTACGATGGGGAAGCGGTGGGGGTGGCTTTGGCACGGCCCCGGACTAACGCTAGGGCGCCGTGTCGCATGCTGCTTTGGGGAACCAGGCTGGAAATGAAGATCATCAAGGGCTCCAGCGGCATCCCGAGGCTCAGCTACACTGGGAGGGACGACCGGCACTTCGTGCCCACGGGCCTGTACATCGTCAGGACAGTGAACGGTGGGTGACTTCCCTGCCCTACCCCTCCCCTGGCCAGAGGGACCGCCCAGCCCTACCCTGCCCGCTAGGCACGTTGCCCCTGGCTGGCTCGGCTCTCAGGCTTCGTAGGGGATGGTGGCTGTGCTTCACAGGCCCAGAGGCGGGCTGGGCAGAGGAGAGCGAGTGCAGGCACAAGGGGCTCCAGCAGCAGCCGCATATGCGGAGGAGCCTGGTCTCTGCCCCCTGCAGCCCCTGGAGGATGGCGGCAGGGCTGCTGGGTGTCACCTCGTAGTCACTGAGAGCCCCTCAGGGATGGTGGTGGGGGCCGTGTCCTGCCTAAGTGCCAGCCCGTTTCCTCCCGTTAGAGCCGTGGACCATGGGCTTCAGCAAAAACCTCAGCAGGAAGTTCTTCTACAACAAGAAGACCAGGGAGTCCACCTATAAAATCCCCACAGACTCCATCGCCCCATTCCAGTGAGTACCCTCCTCTCTGCACCCCGCCCGCCCACCCGCCCCACCAAGGCTGCCCACCACCTCGCCAGGCAGATGTGCGGCTGTGCTGAGGTGGCCGGAGTCCTGGCCTGCTGGGGGACCCTGTACAGGGCCATAGGCCCGACCCTTGGGACCCAAGGACCCAGTGTCCGTTTACCAGATTGCTGATCATGGGTTCTGACAGCAGCCCTCACGTGCCTAAAATCAGCCACCACCCCTTTGTTCCGTCGCCGCTAACAGTTCTACTAGAGAAGCGCAGGCAGGAGGGATGGCTGTGCTGGGAAAAGCTGGTTCTGGGGGTCCGGGGAGGGGCAGGACCTCTGGGTGCTGCGGACCGGAGATGGGCGGGGCTGATGATCCCGCTCCTCCTCCCTAGCGTCTGCTACTTCAGCCGGCTCTTCTGGGAGTGGGGAGATGGCATCCGTGTGCACGACTCCCAGAAGCCGCAGGACGTAGACAAGCTGTCTAAGGAGGACGTGCTGTCCTTCATCCACATGCACAGACACTGAGCCCCGCCTGGGGTGCTCCCGCCCACGCCCCGCCTCTCCCAGCCGAACACTGGGCTGGTTCCTTCCGCCTCTGTGAAGGGGCTGGGGAGCAGGACTGGGGAGCATCAAGCCTGGGGCGTGGGCGGGGCCTTCAGAGGACACATGGCTCCCCAGGCGGGTTTGAGGACAGGACAGAGCGGAGGGCTCCGGGCACTGCTGTGCTCTCGGGGCTCTGGCAGACCCCCTTTCCTGCGCTCGGCCCTGCCCTGAGGGAGGCCAGGCCCCTGCCGTGCCCAGCTTCTGTCGGCCTCGGTGCGCAGAGGCCCACTGTGGTCTCTGGCCGGGAGCAACTGTTGTATATGTCAAAGTTTTTAGTTTGCTGTGTTGACGCCAAGTTGGAGAAGACTTGGTCTCCTTCCCCACTCACCCCCTTTGCTGGAGCCCTTCCCAGCCCAGCCCTGACGGTCCTGGCAGGCCGGGACAGGAGGGCAGGCCAGTGCCTCTGCCACCACTTGGGATCAGAGCGGTCTTGGGCACTGGCTGTGCCTATGGAGCCTTCCTGGGCCGCCCCCTTTTGATTCAAAAGGCTGCCCGCCTTGAGCTGCACAAGAAGCGGCCTTCAAGGCCTGCCTGTCCTTTCCCCTGGCAGCAGTGGCCCTCCTGGTGGCAGAGGCACTGCGTGGTCTGAGTGGCAGCTGTACAGGCCTGTGCCCTGGCCAGGGAGAGTTCTCTTCCTGGAGTTGCTCCGTGCTGCCCTCCCCTCTATCAGGAGGCCAGGCTGCCTCCGCGTGCCCGAGGTTGCTGCGTTTCCTGTCTTGGCAGAGGCACAGAGGTAGGAGGGAAGCAAGGCTGCAGCTCTGGGCAGGGGAGGGCGCCCAGGTGGTTTTTAACAGGAAGTACCTTCAGAGATGCTCCCTGGCTCACTAGGCCCCGTGCCGGTCTAGTTTTCATGGAGCCAGGGCCCTAAGGCTCCTGGGAGGTGGAACGGACTCCACAGGGCCCTCAGCCAGTGCCCAGCCCCTAGGCTGGCGGCGGACACGCTGGATTCCACCCAGCTCTGGGCTCGTCTGTGTGTCCTGCAGAATCTTGGTTCATTAAAGATAAACATATTTTTAATGCCTGTGTGGCTCAGTGCTGTGTGGTCTGGCGTGGGCTGGAGGTGCAGAGAAAGAGCTCTGCTGAACGGGAGAAGAGCGGGTTGGTTCAGTGGAACAGGCCCAGGACTGCTAGCCGGGATGGGAATGAATGAATGAACCGCAGCCCGGGGGCGGGTGGCACCTTCCCTCTCTTACATAAACCACACAGCTCATGAGGTGGCACTGTGACTTGGTCTACGTGACTGAAATAAACAGGCGGCAGACCAATTAGTGGCACCAGACGGGGGGGGGGGGGCAGAGGCTGTGCTGCCCCGGTGGGGACCTGCCAGCCTCGGCTGGGCACTGCCACTGCTCCCCCAGCCCTGCCCCGAGGGCCTCTGCGACCGAGGCTGCTCATCCATGGGCTGCTTCCCACCTTGTCACTGCCAGGTGAGTGTGGTGCCCATGCCTTTGCCCTCCAGCCCCGCGCAGGAGGTGGAGCGGGGTGAGGTCTCCATTAGCCGCTCCAGCCTCCGCTCAGCCCGCCCCTCACTGCGAACCCCGCCTGATTTACTGGCCACTGTCACCATAAGTCTGTCTGGTCATTACCAAGGCTCTTGCTGCCCACATACTCTCCAGGCCTCCCGCTCGCCTTTCATGGCCAGGAGATGGATGAGCTCCGCACACCCTGGGGGCCTCCAGCCGACCACGTCCGGTCCCCCCCGTCGCCCTCGCCGCACAGGCTGCGTTTTTCTGCCATAATTGCAGGCCGAGGCCCAGGGCACCTTCGGTAGGGGCAGGCAGGTGGCACAACGGCCGCCTGCCCACCCTTCTGAACCCCACGCCAATAACTTCGGAACCCCATCCGAATCCCTCAGGGCCCGCCCTGCTGCCCCCAGCTACAATCACACCATGACATTTACTCAGCTCTCCTTGGCCTGGTGTTCTTTATTGCCTGTCCGTGGGGCAGAGGGGGAGCCAGCACCCTCCTTCCAACACCCAGAGCTGAGCAGGTCTGGCTGGGGGCCGGGCCACGGGCGGCCTCAGGTGAACGCCCAAGTGTGCAAGGTGCCGGCACCCACGCCCTCGGGAGGACCCGCCTGGTCCTGGGAGAATCCCGGACTCACATGGTCCAGTGGGCATAGAGCACGGCCAGGAGGAGGAAGATGGCCACTGAAAGCAGCATGTTCTTCCGGTTCTCCTGCCGAAGCAACTTCAGCTCCTTCTCTGGAGGCAAAAGGGTGGTGGGCGTTGACAGTTCGTTCAGCCCCTCTGCTGCTTCCCTTTCCCACACAGTCACTGAGGCAGCGGTGTGTCCTTCCAGCCGGCTTCTAACCCACAGTGCCCTCAGCCTGCCCAGACCTCACAGCCCGTCAGCTCTGGGTTTTGGCCCCGTAAAAGTCCCGATGCCAAATGCTACTGAGCTACTGCATTCTCTTCGAACGCAGCTCAGGCTAAGGCTGGGTGTGTGAGGGGCCCCAAAAGGCCACACCCGAAAGTCAAGCTATGTGGTAGGACAGCGCTGGGTGTGTCCTCTGGCCTGTCAAGGCTGTGCTTACCCTTCCAGGAAGCTCCACCCAGCAACTGGGCTGGCCTAGGGCCTGGCGGGGGTGCCCAGCTCTCAGGAACTTGGGGTGCTAAGAGCAGCTGTTTGCACCACGAGGTGGTCGTTCCAAGTCTGGAAAAGGCAGCCCTGCCACTGCCCAGCCAGCCCGTCCTGTGACATGCAGGCAGCCACTACTCGCAGCGCTGAACTGAACGGTGACGGCGAGACCTGACGCCCCACCCAGCCCGACCTGTGCGAGGGATGGGGCTGCCAGAGGCTGGGCGGGGCCCGGGGTGCTCAGCTGTGTGCCGACTGACAGTGGTCCTTCTGGGCCCCCGGGGGAAAAAAGGGGAGCCTAGAGAGACCCCTGCCAACCTTTCCCCCCGACCTCAGCAGGTGACTGATGCCTGGCTCTGCCTGGCTGTGCCCCCAGTGCCCAGAAGGTGGCAGCATTGCTCCACATGCAGAAGCCCTTCCCACCCAAGGGGGGCTGTCTTCCTGTGTCCCCACTACTCCCATCATGGGGTTCCCAATCAGAGGGATCGATGTCTGAGGTCTGAGCTGGACCAGCTATGGCCACAGCCTGCCATCCTAGAGAGAAGATAGCCATCTGTGGCTGTCCCCCTTGCGCCTGGGACAGGGACGCACCCCAGACTCTCCCAGGCTGCTGGATCCTCTAAAGAGCCGCCTTGCTCCCCGTGGTTCTGTTGGTCTCCCCGGCTGTCTGGCCCTCCCAGCCCTAGCGGGGACAGCAGGTCCCCACAGCTCACCCAAGGGAGCTTACCGTAGTTAGAAGCTCTGCTCATGAGGCTGCTTCTCTCTTTCTCCAGAGACCTCCTGCGGGAGGAAGGGGATTTATGGCTCAGGTTGCAGGGCACAGGAGCAGGGGTCTCATTCACGGGACTAAGGACAGATGCTGGGGCGCGGGTGTTACCTGTCCTCGGGGCTCAGCTCTGCCCTGTGCAGCCGGCAGCTCACGGCCTCCAGGTCCCGCCGGCACTGGGACAGCTTCTCCTCCAGCCCGTCGATCTGAAACACACGGTTCCAACACACGCTCGGGCACCCGCTTGGGTGGGTGCTGCACCGCAGGCCACACTCGAGTCTGCCGGGCAGGAACCAGCTCGCCCTCCCCCGTGCCTATTTCACTATCCTTTCTCCACCATGTGCTGCAGCCTGAGCCCCCTGGAAACAGCCCTCAGAGCTGCCCCAACCTCTGACCGAACACGGGTCGGGGCGGAGGCTGGTCGTGTCTCCCCTGCACAGCACCCCGCCAGGCCCGCACAGCACTGAGCACGGCGGCACCTCACCGAGGTTCGAGCAGCCCTCCACGCGTGGCGCGACCACCCAGGGCCAAAGACGCTTTTTCCCACCGGCACACTTACTAGTGCAGTCTAAGTTGTAAAAATAGAGATTTGATGAGAATCAATAAAAATTAAAGAAAAAACGCAACTTAAAACCACTTGTATTTCTTTCTGACTTGGTTCTGGGGCAAAAACATTGCCTGTCATCAAGATAGCTCTAACTTGTGCGGTAAAATAGCTAAGCTCTTGAGAGGAAGGCTGCAGAAGAGATCTTTGCCCATTTGTTTTGATTATGGTTTCACAGCTGTCTTCTCAGGGCAATGCTGGAGTGCAGGGAAGGCGTTCTGTAACCCTCCCGGCCGGGTGGTCCGAGCCTGGGCTTGGCGCTGCACACTGGAGGCCACCACCCCATCCTGACTCGGGCCCCAGGTGTCCACGCACGCGCATGCGCCCCACCCCGCCGCCTGAGTGCTGGGTGGCTGGGGCGGCCAAGCGGAGCCCAGCGCAGCAGCAACTGTGCAGCGCTCTGGGAGGCTGCGGGGCCGCGTCCTCCACTTGGCGGCTCTCTCACCCTCCCTGGGCACACGTGGACGAACCAGGCTGCCCACCCGACTGACTCCTGCGGAGTCAGAGCAGCACCCTGTCCTTCGAGGTCCCGGCCAGTTCCCCACTCAGTCCTTCCTGCAGCCGGCCCTGCAGCCAGGAGCCCTGTTCCCGGGGCTGGGTGTCCAGAGACTCTGAGCCCTGCCACTTCCTCTCTTCCTGAGACTGGGTTCAGGCGACACCACCACCTTCCTTGCAGTCCCAGGGACTGCAAACCCCAGTGGAACAGAAGAGCCTGCCTGGCAGCCCCAGCCAAGAAACGGGACTGTCCCTGTGGAGGCCAGAGGCCTTCCTTCAACTGCACAGCAAGGAAGGGCACCCTGGGGCCAGGCCTGGGGAGAGAACAGCTGCCCAAGCCAGGGCTCCAGGCCATCACACGGTCAGCCCTCCACGGAATGGCCCCCAACACATAGCCGAGCTGCCCGGTGCTGCTTCCGCCCATGGTAAAGACTGTGCCCACAGGGCCGGGCCTGCTCAGGAAGGCATGCCTCGGGCTGGGGACAGAGGGCTGAGGTCTCACGTGGCAACTGGAGTCCACAACCCTCCTCCTGTGCCCAGAGCTGGGAAGAAATAGGCGCAGACCCCGGGCACTGGGCAAGCTGCACGGTGCAATCTTAGCCCCAGACCAGGGCTCTCCCTGCTGCCCGCTGGGCCAGGCCCTGGTTAGCAAGTCCTGGGGAGAGAGCAGGCTGGGGAGCTTCTGCCCCTAAGACACCCCTGGGAAGGCTACCAGGTGCCCAAACTCATGGAAACTGCTCCAGACCAAGGCCAGGAACTCATGCTAAGCAAAATCTTCAGATGGAGACTGGCAAACCACAAGTGGCCGGACCAATCTGCCACCACGCTCAGCACAGCACCCAAAGAGCTGGTGGTCGGAGGCCTGTATCTGAACAAGACCAGTTTATTCGCAGCCCCACTGAATAGCCCCACTTTCATTTGCCACTTTTTAATGGGGCTAAAACGAGTGCATACAAATCAATGTTTTAGGGACTCAAGTTCTAACCTCCCTCTATGAGTATTTACGTCCTGCTGACAGCTGTGATTCCTTTCTAAACAGCAAGGCCCCCTTCTTTATAACCCACCCGCCTGGCTGCCGGATGCAGGCCGTGGACCCCAGACCCCTCCCCAAGGGTGGCCCTGCGGGGTCCCCGGCCAGGGCTTGGCTCAGGAAGCTGGCCCACACCCCGGCAGCGCTTGCCACTGCGAGGCAGGGCTCTGGGGGATCCGGCTGCACAGGTGGAAGGAGGTTAGGAGCAAGGAGTGCAGAGCGGCTGAGCCAGCAGGAGGGGCTCAGAAACGGGGAGAGCACCCAGAAAGCGGGCTTGGAGGAGCCTCTGGATGGCTCTTCGGTCAGCTCTCAACTCCATGCACAGGGACTACATGCTCTCTGGTCCCAACCTGGCTCCTCCCTGCCCCCAGGCTGAAGGCAGCAGAGAAGCCAGGACCAGAAGACGTGGAGGTTAGGCCTCGACTAAGGTCTCACAAAGGTTCTAGAAGCGTTAGCGTCAGAGCGGCCGGCAGTTGGGAGCCAGAGCGCCCAGAAGCCTGAAGTCACGCGCATAAGTCCAGTGCTGGGCGGGTGGGCTGGAATCGGTGCCCCCGCTGTCACTCACTTCCGTGTGCCCGGCAAGTTCCTTAGTTCTGTTCCTTAGCAGACTTGGGCGAAGTAAAGATAATCAGGTTTCACAGCTCAGAGAGTGGTTATGAGGCCGAGGTGACAGTACAGGTGCTTGAAACAGTGCCTCACACCGGGAGCTCAGTAAGTGTTTCCTATTGTTACTGCAAAGTGGTTTTCGCTGGATCCTTGGGGAATAAAAAAGACGGAGTAAATGGTGGCAAGAGGGAGAGAAGGTGCGAAGCCGGGACAGGTGGGGGTAGAGGCCTGCATGTGGCCATCCCCCCGCTCTCTGGAGGACCCACACTGGGGGCCCACGGGACAGCAGCCGCCAGCTGGCACACTGGGAACCTCTGTGATCCTGCTGGGGAAGGAGTGGGCTGGGCTCTGGGCCAGGGCCACGAAGCCAAGGCCAGGCTGGTGGAAGCCGAGGTGGAAGGCCTGAGCAGTGTCCCGGGCAGAGCAGGCTCCACTGAGGGCTGAGGAAATGCAAATGCCAAGGGGAACCCGGCAGCCCCGGGCGCGGGAGCTGGCACCGGAAGCACAGGGTGTCGAGTGAACAAGGCCCAGCCAAAGGGACCCGACGGGCTCCCGGGCAGGGAGGGCACACTCCGAAGGCACTGCTGCCTCCCAGGACTTCTGTCTGGCAGGGTGGCCAGCAGCCCACGATAGCTCAGGTGCTGGGACTCGCTGGAAGCTAAAGGGACAGCACTGCTGGCAGGGACGGTGGAGGAGCGGCCTCGTTCAGGTAGTGCGGACAGCGGGTGCCCCTGACGGCCACTTGAAGACAGTATACTCGGAAGGCCAAGGGCCGACACTGTGAGCAGAACAGAGCACGGCGTCTGAGTCACCGCGTCGGGCCAGCAGGTGAAGTGGGGCTTCAGTCCCGCACGGGACCCCAGGGAATACGGGTGGCAGTGTGGGCACCCTGGGAGCCAGTGGCGCCTCTGCATCTGTGCGGACCGAGGACTTCGTGGGTGCTGTGTACGCCTCCACGCGTGCACTTCGGGCCACCGAGACACCTGCAGGCAGATGAGCCCAATCTTGAGCCGGACACCAGCAAGGGGCAGGCCCGGGTGTGGAACAGAGAAGCCCGGCAGTGACCCTGCTGCCTCAGTACCGCGCAGGAGGGGCTGTGGTGGGGGAAAGGCACGAGACGAGGGAGCCTCCACGGAGGACGGGGTCCTACACGAGGACACCCGAGGCCCCAGCAAGTGGGGTCTTTGCTGCTGCCGGCGGGTGCCACGGAAGAAAGGTTTCCCACAGTCACGGGGCAGGGACCATGGCTTCCCGAGCCTTCCCCGCCCTGTGGCTCTGAAGCTCGGCAGCCTCAGGCCACACAAGCACAGCCCCTCTGCCGCCTGCCTGGGGATCTCACCTTGCTCTCAGAGCTTCAGGGACGTCTCCCTGGGGTCCTATACACCATAAAGCCGCTGTGTTAAGAGAAACTGTAAAATTCCCCTGAAATCCCCAAGAGGCATCTTTTCAGGAGTGTGGCGCCTCCAGGAATCAAAGCCTGAATGAGACCTCAATGAGGATGGAAATGCGCTGCCGGCTCTCGGATAAACAGCAGCAGGGACAGGGGTCAGGAGGCCCCGGTGCCAACTTCAGGAGGCTGTGAGCACATGGGGCTTGTGTATGGCTTCTACTCTGCCCCAGAAGCTCGAGCCACAGGCTGGCATGGGCTCCGCTCTCCCCTGAAGGTGGCTGAGCAGTGCGCACGCTGGGCAATCGGACAGCGGGGAGGGAGTTCCGCTCAGACCCCAGCGAGCCGCAGCCGGGGGCCCCACGGTCCGGGGCCTTGCTCCCAGGAGCTTCTGGGCAGCGCGTGCAGAGGCTGCTGGCCTTGCCCCCCATCAGACAGGGCCAGGGGACTAATAAGAGCGTGGGGCCTCACATGGCTGGGTGACACGGCAAGAGTCAGGGCAGCCTCCGGAAACCAAACGCCCACGCGACACAACCGCAACAGCAGCCGCGGCCCTTCCCGCGGGAGCTCGCGGAAGCCTGGGGGCAGGGTGGGCGGGGCCTGTCACCAGCGCGGCACCTTACGGACAGCACTCAGACCGCGGAGTCAAGTAACTTGTCCAGGGTCACAGGCTGTACACCGGTGGTGGCCACCGCCGCCCCGTAGTAGAAAGCACAGACACCAGCTTTGACGGAACTCCGGGCTGGGCTGGGCCGTCGCTGCAGGAAGGGGCTGGCCCCATCCTAAAGGAGCAAATTCCAGCACCGCGAGCGCACACGCCTCGCGCCCCCGCAAGCCCCTCCGACATCCCTCGGGAGAACTGCGAAGACGGCTTGTGGGCAGCAGCCGGCCGCGCCCTGGGGAGCCGCGGAAGTGCGCGCAGGGCCCCCGCAGCCCCTCTGCCTGAACGACCTCGGGCAGGGCTTTGCCCGCTCTGTGTGGCAAGGCAAGCGTGGGCTCTGCGGTGACACCCAGGTGCCAGAAGCCAGCTTCTGTCTGTCCTCACCCTGAACTGTTCCCGCCCACGGTCACGGTCACGGCCCCC